GAATCAATTCATAACACCTTAAACAATAATACAATTGTCAGTGAAAAGGTTTACATTTTCACAAGTCCATGATTTATTTATAGTCACCACTGGGTCATGGGTCAAAAGTAGTTCCTATGCAAATTAGCCAAGTCTTAATGAGGTCAGGTCTGCTGTCTTGTCCTTGGTTTTTATTGGCTGAAGATGTGCAGCATCTTGATTGGATGTTGAATTTAGTTGCATTTGGAAAGTGTAAAGTTCGTTCACTTGCTGTCTTTCTCCTAACCTGGCAAGGTGGTTTGAAAGTCATGGATGGAGGATTTTGACTTTGGTGAATTACAGGTTAGTTACACTTGGTTTTATATAAAACTACAAAAATATGTTTAATTGCTGAAAGGTTAATTCAGTATTTATTGTAACTGAATTTATGCATTTGGTGGAGGTATATTTTGACCTATGGTTAGAAATTGTTGGTGTCAATAATTTCACTTACAATTGATTCAGATTAGTGGTAATGTTTGAGTCCAAACAGATTGTACGTTTACTTACTGGTGAGAATTAGCATTTCCATGCTAATTAAAACATACATATTTTAGGTTCTTGGTGCCTCACAACATGTGGCCAGTTTGAAGCAAGTTGTCCCATAGATGGTAAGACACGTTGATGTTTCATTGTTTTGAAGATGCCAAATGTGTTCCATAATTCCTAAGGATCTTGATATGAAACTGAACCATCCCCGTTACAGATACACAATGCCGTTTAGACACTGGTCAAATGTAACATAATGTATATTTGGGATTACACTTTCCCAGAAAAGAACAGATTCTAGAACTTTTAGGGTTGAGTCCCATCCAGGATTCGAACCCACACTCAGATTCAGGCACCTAATCGCCAGGGTTCGAATCCCGGAAGAGGCTCAACCCTAAAAGTACTAGAGTCTGTAGGTACCTGAGAAAGTGTAACCTGTTATATCATCCATGCAGCTCATCCCTTTGGTGGTGGTATAGGGTTACGTTTGACCGCCTGCATGTACACTTATGTGCTGAAAAGTACCCGTACATAAATAAGATGTATACATAGGTCAGATTAGGTCGGGTTACTTTTAAAGTGTAGATTATCTACGGAACTGTGCCCCCAAGTCTATTCTGAAAACACCCTGAACCATAGCGCAGATTCTAAATCTACGTCACTGTCTTACACAAGTAAGTCGCACAGAACAATCAGCAACATGCCACCTGTATAACGGCCATTTGCATAATTGGGGCTGGAGTGACGTACACAGTAGACCTGTCTGCTAGAGAATGGGTCACACGTGGTATTCAGCGTGGGTTCGTATCCTTGATCGTTCCGATTGTTTCTGAGTTTATTACCACTTTCACCCGTGCCCATTGCTCAAATCTGCATGATGTCGGACTTTCCTCTCTAAAGCCGACACTCACTGGCCTAAGTTGAAAACTACCCAAATCGACGTTAAACCAACCCACTTACTCACTTATTATGACTAGATTTAAAATAGTGAGTTTCGTGAACCTACCTCAAAGACTCTAAACATTCACACGTCAGCGTCCCAGCTATTTATTTAAACCAGGACCATCATTCAAACAATCCCAAGTGCCTATATAGTGTATAACAACATTCATGCCGAAAAATTCCCAACTGCGCAGTCTGGTCTAGACTCGATTATTTACAGACCACCGCCATATAGCTGGAATATTGCTGAGTGTGGCGTAAAACTAAACTCACTCACTCATGCCGAAAAATGTGGGAAAGGCTCATTAACTCCCCGACCGTGACTCCCAACGTCAGCAGAAGGACAATTAATAATGATTATGCTCTCTATAAACAAAGAAGCCATTGCTCAAATCTGAAAACAAATTTGACATAGACACCAAGAGACGTAATCTGTGCTAGTTGTTGATAAAGTTAAAGATAAATAAATATACCCTTGCCTTGCACCTCACCTATAGATATGGAGGGTCATCCCTAAATCTGAAACAATCCTTCAAATGTGTTCAGGTTCTTGGCTGAACCAACATTCCCTAGGGTTTCCATGTTCAAAATACGTAAATTGATATGAAAATCGGAAGCAAACGTTGCACTGCACGTCTCCTTTAGACGAAGTTAATGGTCCCTGAATTTGAAAGCATCCCAACCAATAGTTTTCAAGTTGTTGGTCGACAAAAATGCCTTCGGACGGACGTAATTCCTTGGTACAACAATATATCCCAAACCTTTTAAGGTGGGGGATATGACAAGATTTGTTCACAGTTGTAAGAATACTGCGTCTCCTCAGCATGGCGCCCGTGAAATATGTGCCTGTGGCACCTGCCTCTCGCTCTTTGACGATGCGGGTTAGGAAATGCATGTCCTTGGACATACGAATAATTCATATTGGGGCAACTTGAGGATATCAGTCACTTCATATCATTTGCGCGTGTTTATCAGCTAAACAGGACCAATCGTACCCGTGTTCAAGACAAGAGTAGTTCTGGGGCTCCTTTCACGAAGCAACCTTTACTAAGGTTAACCTTAACTCCCATCCTTTAACATTGCACTAAGGTTACCTTAGTGACTTACGATCACCTTAGTGCTTTTGAAAGGAGGCCGTGACGAATAACTCTTCATCTTAGTAAATACGTCACAGGGGCGTTGGAAAGAGGGGGGGCGGAGACTTTTTTTCAAGACGAAACCATATCTACCTTACCATAACTACAATTTCATTTTGATTTTTAATACTTTACATTAATAACTCATTTATTGATGACAAAATGAATTACCCTATAACAAAATGAACACAAGATACAACACAATAAGATATTGATTACTCCAGTAGATATATCATATTGGTTATGTTCTCTGTCACACTGATTATCTTACACCTGGCCTCGAGGTTTCATTGATTACTCCAGATCATTGAACTGCATTCATGTGATATGACTGTGTCAGCTCACTGTTGAAGTCATTTCAACAACAGATTTCACAACAATACATTGATTACTCCAGATGATACATCACACTGGCTATGTTCTGTCACACTGATTATCTTACACCTGGCCTTGAGGTTACATTGATTTGTTCAGCTGGGGAAACAAGTATTGTCAGCTCACATGAATATATCTGGAACATATCTGGAACCTGGATATTTCACCTCCTTTTAGCCACAGGTATGTTGGTTGGTTGGTTGGTTGGTTGGTTGCCTCAGCAGTATTCCAGCTATATGTTGGCAGTGTGTAGTAATTAGCAGTAGAAGTCTGTTGTTTAACACCGCACTCAGCAGTATTCCAGCTATATGTTGGCAGTGTGTAGTAATTAGCAGTAGAAGTCTGTTGTTTAACACCGCACTCAGCAGTATTCCAGCTATATGTTGGCAGTGTGTAGTAATTAGCAGTAGAAGTCTGTCAGCAGTATTCCAGCTATATGTTGGCAGTGTGTAGTAATTAGCAGTAGAAGTCTGTTGTTTAACACCGCACTCTGCAGTATTCCAGCTATATGATGGCAGTTTGTAAATAATCAAGCCTGGACCAGACAATCCAGTGATCAACATTATGAGCACAGATCTATGCATAGATCGTATTGGGATACGATGACAAGTGTCCGATCTTCAGGGACTTGTAAAAAGACCTCTCTTTAAAAAAATTCCAATCTAAAGGGTCATTATACACGTGACATCAAGTGCATAAAAAGTACCATGGGCCATCAAAATAAAATCACCTGTGCACTAGATTACATCTCAGTACATACCAACTGCCTGTGTATAGAGGTTTCTGCTAAACATGAACTGACAGTTGTAGTATGTGAGTACCCCAGCTATGTCACGGTGGGTCAGCTTGATGACAGACCCAATCAAGGGACTTTTTACCACTTGGATGAAACCAACAAGCTCTGGGATCACAAGTTGGAAACATAACCAATGTGAAACCATGATGGGTTTCTGGTGTGCCGATGTCACAACTGCACAATGAATTGAAGATGCTCAGACATCTAGGCATTTTTATATTAGTTTTGTACATGTTATAGGGCAAATTTTGTTTATTGTTTTATTGAAATTGCACTTCAGGCTATTTCTTATCCCGTCATCAAGCAAAATAGTGAATTTGCACAGGGATTAAATATCCATAATTTCTGTTATAGCAAGGGGATTTACAACAGAAAAGACAATCGATCATATACGCTTTTCATTTCAAATTATATGTAAACAAAATATATAAAATGTCAATACAGAATATCTGGCTTTAGCTCTGTTGTATACACATCAAAACTGACACAAATCATGCTCCCAGGATGTGTTGCCGGGTTTCCCTGTGACCCTCAGACAACATGTGGTTAAACCCCCAAGTGATCAGTTCCATAGTTCAATGTCCGGGATATTTTTGGAACCAAGGAATGTGATCATTTGTTTTGGGAACCACCACACTACACACACTGAAAGGATTTCCAAACATGAAGGTCAGACATCACAGTAGCATTGTACATTTATTTCTTGTACCTCTGACAGCCTCCTTGGTTATACCGGGGAATTATGTATCCTTTTGATTATGATCAATGTCCTGTTCCCACCTGCTTCCATAGCTTCACAAGTCCTCATAGACAATAGCTGTCAGTATGAACACAGGACCTTCACTGGACTCTGGACCCACATCTAGACCCGTGAGCCTAGTTAGGAGTACCACAGACCTTAAACCCTGAGTCAATGAACATACAACCTTGCCAAGTGGCAGCTCGGAATCATGGCCTTTTACCAAAGGCACTTGTCATTGTCACATCAGACACAATACCTCATGCCCCAGACAAATGATCAGTCCTTGGCAATAAACTGGATCCCTGTCCACTAACCCTTGTCAGTGGCACCCCAAACCCCGACCATTACCCTTGTCAGTGGCATACTGGACACTTGACCATTTACCCTTGTCAGTGGCACACTGGACACTTGACCATTTACCCTTGTCAGTGGCACACTGGACCATTTACCCTTGTCAGACCATTTACCCTTGTCAGTGGCACACACTTGACCATTTACCCTAAACATTTACCCTTGTCAGTAAATGGGAAACCCAGGACCATGAAACACTGAGCATACATACATATAAATAAATAAAATTTTCTGAAGGATTTTCTGTCAATGGATTTCAGCATGATTTGTATACAAAACACAAATAGAAACAACAACAAAGAACACATTATAACAAATCTTGATTAAATATCACAGAAACAAATACTGCATAGTTTACACCATTCTCTTCCCATAGAGGTTACTCAAGTCAAGATATGACTTGAGTAACCTCTGTTGAAAGAATGAGTTTCATCCCTTGCCATAACACAGGTCTTTCGGCTCCATGGATGCCCCCCCCCCCCCGACATTAGACACCTGTGTTATACATAACATGGAATAAGGGCAAACTAACATAATATTTTGCTACAGGTAGCAATAGCAATCTGCAATCTTTATGAATAAAGGTGTCTTATATAAGTTAGTACAATGTTCCAATGCTTGTGTGTTGAGCATGGAGTCTGCCATTAGCAGAGAATTTAGGTACATTGTAGTTAATATTTGCATCATGATTAACTTGAACCCAACAGCAGATTTGTTGATAGGCTATTTCTGATGTTTCGATGACATGGAATCCAGTTATTACCTCGCAGTTTAACTTAAGCCAAGTTATCGCAAAGGGTGTTAGCAAGGGATATACTTACATCCTGACTGATGGCAATCTTGAAGCAATGCATGGCTTGTAAAATACTAAAGGATCTTTAGGACCTTGTAATGTTGTAAAAAATATTTGTATAAGTATATGGATTTCTTGACTACTCAAATAAATGATAATAAATGATTGAAGATGTTTCAGGTTCCAGGGTAACTGGCTACAGCCTAATGGTGTCGATGTTAGACTCCTCTTGTCTGCTGCCATTTAACTCATCCTCTTGACCAGATACATCTTCCTTCTGGATGCACCCTGAGTCCGCTGTACTTGACTCATCCTGTACAGAGAACACAGGATTGTTTTGTCCCTGTAGGTCATGTGATCGTCTGTCTCCAACGTCCCCATCCTGAATGTTTTCTGTCTTCTTCAGCAGCCGAGGTCCGAAGATGGTGACCAGAGCAGCGCCAATGGGAGCAGTGATCAGGATGGCCAACACAGCAATGGTCAGGATCTGTCACGGACAGGAGTTTGTATTAGTGTATGTTCTGCTGTAGGTATGGCCAGTAAAACCTCATTAATCCAGATGCTAGTACCCAAATGTAATTTTCAGGGCTAAAAGATCATTGGGAAGGAGCAATGTTCATTTGATTACATAATACATCACATTCACGACTCTCAATGGGTTAACAGAGACAAGATTAACAAGGTTTCACTCTAAACAGTGTAACAATACAAAGGTAATTAGGACTTAACAATAAACTATATTTCATAATATTGTGACACAGTGCACAAGAAAACTGAAGATGAGCTAATGTAATCTTTCTACAATTCACATACTGTCAGGAAATGGAATGTTTATCACCAGTATTGATCAATTCAATATGCCCTCTTTAACATACATGTGTAGATACATGTCCTCATACAGGACTTGTAACATGCACTGTGGAGCCTGCCATTGATATTCTTGAGGGAGGGACCCGGGCTGTTTTGTCAGAAAGAGCATATTTTTTGGGATAATTTTTACTTTCTTCTTTTTTCTCTGTTAGAAGCACTAAGAGGATATTTACAGGAATTCCAACAAACCAAATAGAAATTGTAAAACTTTCTCTGTTGCCTGTGTCAAAATCAAAACATTTCTAGGCGGCTGAGGTCTCCTCCACATCAGAATATCACATGAACAGTCATGAAGTTTGGCGATACACACCAGTATTAGTCTTTCCAGCCCTGTGTGGTGAAATAACAGAATTGTAAAAAAAAAGGTGTGAAAACATGTGGCACCGGGATTATCTGCATCACTCAAGGTCCCGGACTGGATGCAGACAGCAGACCATGTGATCCAGGTGAAGCCGTGATCTGATATGATTTACTGTTCAAGCCATCACAACATATATTTGTACGAGTTCACAATGCAGGAGCATATAAAAACATGAAAAATGTTATGTTGGACAGGATTGGAGGTTACAAGTATCTGAAAATTAAATTCAAATAAACTGCAAAATGGCAAAGAAATATATATATATATTGAATAAAGGAATATTCTAGATAATAATATAAGTTTTTATTTAAGTTGTATTTTTATGATAAGTTATACAAGATTGAAGGAAGACTCCACTGTAAAGCAGGGAAATGGGGTTGATCAGTTTTGGCATAACGTGATGTGTGGGACAGACAAGCACAAGGCTGCCTAGCCTGTGAGTACAATACATGCAACCTGTCTCGGCAGTATGGGAAACGGGGGAAAGACTGAATGACAACCATAGGAGAAAACTGAAGGCAAACACAAAGATACAAGTTGTTTGATGGGCATTCTAGAAGTTGGTGACTCAAAAATGAAACATCCAACTTTATGGATGACAACTTCTTATTTATTGCATAGAGCGACGTTTTGATGTAGATTCTTACATCGTTATCAAGCTAAAAGTGAATACAACCAGATGTTGTATGTTTCATTTTCACAAAGATACAAGGTACAGATAACTGCCTGCGGTGCTCAGCAACTGTTAAACTGCTGCACTGTGGTGCTCACAAGCCTGGAAGAAGAAAAAGTCTAGAGACAGACCTGGGCAGAAGTTGGGCTTGTTATCAGAAAATGTACGACAAAATTGCCACCTGTAGCTCAGCTTGACAATATACATATATATAGGAAAACAAAACAGTGGTCCGATGCTCTACAACAGTCTCATTGAACAGCACTCATTGCAATAAAGAAGTTGACTATCCATACAAATCAGTTTTCCTTCTACAACAGTCGGTGGAGGGAAGGTGAACGGACGGTGGAGGGAAGGTGAACGGACGGTGGAGGAAAGGTGAACGGACGGTGGAGGAAAGGTGAACGGACGGTGGAGGAAAGGTGAACGGACGGTGGAGGAAAGGTGAACGGACGGTGGAGGAAAGGTGAACGGACGGTGGAGGAAAGGTGAACGGACGGTGGAGGAAAGGTGAACGGACGGTGGAGGAAAGGTGAACGGACGGTGGAGGAAAGGTGAACGGACGGTGGAGGAAAGGTGAACGGACGGTGGAGGAAAGGTGAACGGACGGTGGAGGAAAGGTGAACGGACGGTGGAGGAAAGGTGAACGGACGGTGGAGGAAAGGGTGGAGGAAAGGTGAACAGACGGTGGAGGAAAGGTGAACAGACGGTGGAGGAAAGGTGAACAGACGGTGGAGGAAAGGTGAACAGGTAAGTGTTGGTACAGGGAAATGGAGGTGATAGTGTTGGGATGGAGAATTGTTTATCAGCATTGGTTTGATGCCTTCTGTTCCCACTGTAATATTTCTGGTGTCTGTTTTCAGGTATCAGTGACTCCTGAACACTCTTCCAGGTGGACAAGGAGTATGTGTTGCTGCACAAGAATCCCATTTCCACATTTTCAGTTATAACACTGTTATAATGGGCCTCTTTACTATCAAATATCCTTCTCCGTAGTTAGAGAGAGAGAGGGGGGGAAAAGCTTTACAATTCTCAGGAATCTAAAGCTCTGATTCCTGTAGCTGGTGTTGTGGCCATTGTTAGAGCACATGGGTAGTTGGGATGCAACTCAGGGTTAAAGGGTGGGTGTGGTTTGCATAGGTATAGTGAAAAGGCATTTGGGACATGCCACCAGGACGAGGGCAGGGGCATGAACTGTGGTGCACAAGGGTGGTTGTGACACACTTCTATTACAAATGTGGGTGGGGCTTAAATTGTGGTCCGGAAGGGTGATAGGGACACATTTCTATTACAAAAGTGGGTGGGTGGAAGGGACTTAATCGGGGTCCAGATGGGTGGTTGTGACACACCTCTAGTACAAAGGTGGGTGGGGCTTGAATTGTTGTCCAGAAGGGTGGTTGTGACACACCTCTAGTACAAAGGTGAGTAGGGCTTGAATGGTGGTCCATAAGGGTGATAGGGGCACATTTCTATTACAAAGGTGGGTGGGGCTTGAATGGGGGCCCAGACGGGTGACAGGGACACACCTCTATTACAGATGTGGTTGGGGCTTGAATGGTGGTCCACAATGGTGGTTATGACACACCTCTAGTACAAATGTGGGTTGGTGGGGCTGAATTGAATTGTGGTCCAGAAGGATGGTTGTGACACCTCTATTACAAAGGTGGGTGGGGCTTGAATTGTGGTCCAGAAGGGTGGTTGTGACACCTCTATTACAAAGGTGGGTGGGGCTTGAATTCCGGTCCAGAAGGGTGGTTGTGACACACCTCTAGTACAAGAGTGGGTGGGGCTTGAATTGTGGTCCAGAAGGGTGGTTGTGACACACCTCTATTACAAAGGTGGGTGGGGCTTGAATGGTGGTCCACAATGGTGGTTGTGACACACCTCTAGTACAAATGTGGGTGGGTGGGGCTGAATTGAATTGTGGTCCAGAAGGATGATAGTGACACACTTCTATTACAAAAGTGGGTGGTCGGGGGCTGGAATGGTGGACACATTGGGGATGGGGATATACCATTTAGGACAAAGGATAGTGAGGCTTGGATGAAGGTGCATCTAGGGGTTAGACCATTCCTTTAAGACAAGGGTTATCAACTATTGAGTTTTTACAAGACACTGTTGCACACTTACACTATGCAGAGTGTCTGACCTACATTGGAAACATTGTTGTACACTTGCACTATGCAGAGTGTCTGACCTACATTGGAAACATTGTTGTACACAGCTATTGTTCCTTCAATAGCATGGATAATACTTATATTGCTTTCATACCAAGCATCATCAGAAGATGGCACATCCCTCATTCCTCACTAACATGAACAAACAGTGAGTGTCTTGTCAAACCAATTCCATGGGATTAGGATACAGAACTTTGTAGTTGTATGTCAGGTCCTGTTTGTTGCCAAGATATGAGTCACAATATGGTACAACATCCTGTGTGTGTCACTATATATATGAATCATCATGACAATGTGATACAAACTTATGGTGACATAGAAAGAAACAGGTTTACTAAATTCAAAATTTCATGAAAGAATACCCATATGTTTCAGAGAATTGTTTTGTTTTATTTTGAACAGACTGATGAACAGACAGACAAGCTAATACATTGATTGATATTGAGCAACATCCCAAGAACACAATGAACCAACATGACACCTTGATCCAATTACTCACAGCAGATGTCACTGGGAACAATTTCTTTGTGGTTTAAAAACAATTTTTCAAATGTTTACACTTTTCTACTTGAGTTATTCATGTTTGTAGTTTGAGGCATTGCATGAAATGATCAACAAAATATGAGGGAGCCCATCAACAGTCCACTGGAAAAAAAACTTAACACATTAATAAAAGGGAGTGAGTAAATATTGCTTTATGCTGCATCAGGAATATGGCAGCTATTCGTGGTGAGTATCAGTGAAAGTTTGGCTCCAGCAGACGTCTCCAAAGGTACCCTCAGTTATCTCCCCTTGTCTTACATATGGAGGATGAAAGTTAAACATTTCTGCTATAATCAATAATTCAGAATTTGTATCTACACTGAAAGAAATATAAACTCAGTTGTTATGAGAGTTACACAATGAGTAAGTGAATCAATATAGTTTTATGGCGCTTTTGGATATATTCCAGTCATGTCTCAGCAGGGGGTTCCAAAATGAAGTAAAAAACATAAGTCATACACAAAATATACAATAACCCAACACTGATACACAACATCAAATCTCAAACACAAGTCATTATAGAAGAGGTCATGTAACTATACACAATATGGCTAAAAATCTGCATGGGACACCAAGAACAGGCTGAAACAACGGTCCCATGTAGACAACGTAGACTGGAGTACCCTCAAGACAAAGCTCATAGTAAAGCCCTTGATATCTTGGTGAGCTACATGGCCTATCGGGCTTTGTGTGATGTGTATTTTCTCATGAAATAAATCAGAAGAATACAAAGTTTTGATTTGCAAAATGAAATTTTATGAGATTTTACATAAATCGCATTTCTTCATAAAATTTCATTGTTTAAATCAGAACTATCAATTTCTGTGGATAAACCGAGTCTTATGTAGTTTATTGTGGAATCC